CCCTCCAGAGCACGGAGAGCCACACACCTGAGTTCCGGCCAAGTCTTCTTTGTTCTCCAGTTCCATCCGGATGGGATCATGGGGCGGCAAGCCCATGGGGTAGACGATCATCACAGCCCCACGCAGCTGGTCCAGGGCGTCCTTCACCATCTCCATGGTAACACACACATTCGCTCCCACCTGTTTCTGAAAGTGGACGGGCCCCGTGACCTAAAGTACAGCTGGTCAACCCAACAAAAACTCACCAGCTTCTCGGACGGGGCCCTCGCCAGACACTGCTTGAGCAGCAACAAGGAACAAACAGTTCTTGCTACCAAAGCCACATAACCTAGCTTGGGGCGGGCCTCAGGGATGAAGCAGAACCGGGGCAGCACTGAGAGAGGGCAGTGAGTGCCGAGATGCTCCGGGGGAGCACCCGCGTCCACCTGCACAGGCGGGACAGGGGGCTGGGGAATGCTGCCTAGGAGGCGGCTCTCAGGTGGGCCTGAAGACACACGTGGATTTCACAGGTGGAGGTGGGAGCCAGGCGTCTCAGGACAGCCAGCAGACCAGTCTATTTGGGGCTTGAAGGAGAAGAGAGGAGAGGGCTGGAGGAGTGGGCTGGAGTTATTTTTTCAGTGGCCACGGAGACAGGCGAGGTGTCTGTTTATGGTCAGCAACGAGCAGTGACTGACTTTTCTGGGAAGGAGGTAAAACGTGGGAGATGACCCTTGTGGCGGTGCAGAGTGGACCTAAGTGGGGAGACCAGGCAGGAGGCTAAGTAGGAACAGACTAAAGGCGGCAGGGGAGTGTGAGATAGAGTGGAGGCCGTGGAAATGAGAGGTGGGCTTCAGGCACCATGGGAGCAGACAGAGGGGGACCGGGGAAATGTCGAGGTGACGCCACAGACAGCAGCTTCTATGACACTGGCATGTCCCTTGATAGAAGCAGAAACATCTGCAGGGAGTGTGCATTCCCAAGTTCAGAACAAGAGGGTAAAGGGTGAGGACACCATGAGGCCAGTTCCAGAAATCATGAGTCTGAGGCACTGGGTGCACACCCGGGCAGAACCACCCAGGAAGCAGCCGGAAACTCAGTCCCAAGTTCAGGAAGATGTTGGGGTACAGGACAGAGGTTTGAGAGTTACCTGCAGAGGTGGGACTGGCATTTGGCAGAGTAGGTAAAGGGCCAAGAGAGCAAGGGAAGAGAAGAGGGCCCCGGATAGAGTACTTGGATAAACACCAAATTTAAGTGACCAAAGGAACCAGTCCCTGGAGAGCCGGGAGGGAACCAGAACACAGGTAGGGCCGTGGGTGTGCTTGGGGGGAACCAGAACACA